GCTGTTTGGTGCCTTCGATTTGTAGGTCTACTCAGAAAGAATTCCTAGTATCTTGATTTCTGGACTCTTGTGATCTGTTTCTGCAATGGGATTTGATGGGTTCCCTTGTTGCTTGCTGAAGGACATTGGACCAGGCATAGGAAAGTGGCCTTTGTTTGGGGGCCTGGGTAAGGCTGCAGGACCAAGGGAGCAGAAGTCTCTCCTGATTCCTCACCTACTGGTGCCTTTTCCCCCAGTTACTTTGTGTGTGTGTGTGTGTGTGTGTGTATGTGTGTGTGTGTGTGTGTGTGTGTGTGTGTTAGAACCCAGCTTCCACCTAAGCCTTGGAGCTTTTGCGTGCTTTAGAGTTTTCCGGGGGAGACTGACTTCTACTTGGTGGAGAGAATGCTGGCAGGTTGCTGTGAGCCTCCGGGAGGGTGGAGTTGGCTATAGCTGCTTGGGAGAGAGACCTGTGTGCTTCCAGACTTGAGGAGGAAGGCCCACCAGCAGGCTCTAGCAATGGCCCAGGACTGAGGCAATCCTTTTCTCACCCCTGCCTCCCCAGACCCAGCTACTAGTTCCTTCCTGGCCTCACCCATCACCTCATATCTGCTCTGGCTCTGCCAAGATATGTCCTGGTGTTATAAGCTTAAGTTATAAGTTATAAACATGGCTTATAAGCTCTTTGACAGCAGGGACTTTTCATTTGGTATTCCTAGTGCCTAGTACACAATAGTTGCTTAATTAATGCTTTTATAAAAAGAAAAAGACTTTTTTTGGGTGACATCTTTTCTTTTTACTCTAAAGTTGCGTTTGTCGGTGCTTTTCTGATGCGAAAGATGACCTTTCCTGGGTGATGCCAGGTTGTCTTTTGCCTCTTGCCTCATTTCCCGGGTATCTCTCAGGTAAGTGGTGCCTACCTGAGCAAGTACAATCTCCTCTCAGTTACGCATCTTTAGAACCTTAAGGTGTTACCAACCTAGATCCCCAGGCTCCTCCCCAGACAGAAGAACCACAGCACTGACTGAGAAATGTGCCACGTAGCCATACAGGTTAGACCAATGTCGGCCATTAGCTAAGCAGGATCGAGTTTTGGGGAAACATAAGGCCTTTCCCGAAAGCTTGTCACAGGCTTAAAAAAGAAAAAGAAAAAAGGTCTCCGAAGTGTGAACAGTGGCAAATGTGCCAAAATCGAAGTTTGAGCAAGAACACACAAATGGAGAGGCGGCTCTAAAAGCCAAGGAGGTAATTGGAAAGTGTTTGTGAAAGTAATTAGTAGGAAAAAAGCCGAAGTGAAATTGCCAGAGGGTTCCCCCCTTAGCAGTGGAGATGAGAGCAGGATGCGGGGAGACGGTAGGGAAATGAGCCAGGTGGGCTCTGCCCTGGAACAAAGGTGCCTCTGTGCCTGCCTTCACCTCACGCTCCTCTCTCCCAGTGTTAGAAGCCTCGATGAATATTTAAATGGTTTTGAAATGACTTTGGGAGGCTTTTATCTTTGAGCTGAAGGCTTCAGGGAGGCACTTGGGGAATCTGGCTCTGTGGCAGAGGTATTCAAGGGCACCCCGTTTGGACATCCATCCCTGACCCCAGGATGCCCCATGGGATTCCAGGGATGATGGAGGTCTCTTCCTCATCACCACCTTCATTTGGATCCATTCAGAACTTGGTTGGAATGGAGGCTCTCGGTGCTCTGTCTTGAATGAAATCCCTTGCTAAATAAACAAATGAAAGGTGTTAAACTAGGTTGGGGAGAGGACAGGTTAGCCTAGCTCATTTTTCTTTTGGCAAGTATGTATCGCTTCACTGCCTTGAGGCATAGTTTCCTCCTTGTTAAGATGGAGGTGATAATATCCTTCTACCTATTTCACAGGGGTGTTCCAATACTAAAATGAGATAATAGGTGTTGTATTTTGAGAGCTTTAGTAAATAAGTATCAGTTATTATAATTATCATTATTAGGCCATGTTGTATTTTTAGGCCATATGTACTTGTAGATCACAAAATCTTTGTTTAAAATCTTCTGCAGTCATAATTTTCTCCTAATTCTGCCCTTTTTCTTAACTATTCCAGATTAACAAGGTAGAGAAAAGCCTCAGTTAACCAGCATTTGAGTAACTGAATGTTCTCAGGTAACAAACTTTTTCCCCCAAGGTGGCAAGTCCTAGGTTGAGTGATTCATAACCTGGAGAAAGAGGGAAGGGCCAACTCATGTATCAAAGCTTTAAGACAAAGGAAGTACTTCCAAGTACTTATGTTTGCTCACAACAGCCACCTGGGACATCCCACCAGCGATTCTAGGTCTTTCCGAAGACCTCCAGAATGGCCCTGACTACTGAGGCCTTTTAAGAAGCCTAAGCCCCAAAAATTAATTAAAAAAAAAGAAGCCTAAGCCCCACTTTGTCTTGGTTACTTGATTTTTAATGTGCTTACAGCCTGACCTCCAGGAACAGACTATCTTTAAAATTGGCTTTTCTGACACAAATATAAGAAACCAAATTTCAGCAGGCCATCAGAATGTCTTTTCTTTTCTAGCACACACATATAATTTATTCCTTGCTCCAGTGTTCTCTCAGAGGACTCAGGAAACAACAACAATAAGAACAACACCGCTTTGAAGGGTTCCAGAGAACTTTCTGCAAGCTGGACCATGCGACATTGCTTCCTCTGTTTGACCTTGGGCAAGTGGTTTTACTTTTCTGAGTCTCAGTTTCCTCATCTGTAAAATGAGAGGGCTTGACTAGATGGCCTGGAAAGCCCTTTCCAGTTCTAGATTCAGAATTCTTTGATGAGGAGAAAAACAATCTTCTAGTTTCAAACCTTGATATTTTCAAAATCGTTGTGTGGCTAGGTCTGACTAATTTGCCCTGGCTTTTTTTTTAATAGGGCAGGGGCAGGGGGAAAAACCCATATAGATTACATACAAGAAATACTACCTTGGGTTTGCAAGCATAAGAGTCTCTGGACTCCTGCCTTTTCTCATTTGCAGATGAGAAAAACCAAACTTCTTTCAATGGAATGTAGAGGGTAAAATTTCACCTTGTAGCAAGAAATATGTCTTTTCTTGGGAAAAACATTCCTATTTGTGATCCTGCTGCTAAAGACCATCACCACCATTTTGCACATCAACAACTATGTGGACAGTAATGGAAATTCTGTTATTACCTTTTGAGTACTGTGGATACACATTTATAAAAGCTTTTAAGAGATTTGACTTAGAGCTTGCTAAGTTAAAACAAATTGAAAAGGCCAGCATTAAAAAGGGACCTCCCCCCAGTGTCTTTCTCCATGTCTTCATTTATGAATTTTGAGACAAGGCTGGGCTGTACATCTTTGCTTGTTTCATGGGTAAATCACATGGTAGTAGTAAATTTTTAATTGTGTGTATTTGATCACAACATAGTCTATTAACACTTTATATTATTTTTTCCTTCTGGTTTTGAAATTTCTGATAATTATTCTAATGCTAATGTGAGCAGCTGTTTCAGCATCTAGTTTAGAAGTAATATCCTAATACATAATACATCTCCCCAGTGTGGCTTCATCTCTTGTTGGCTATGGCCCTGTCTGCTCACATGGTTGAACTAACTATTCCCAGGCTGTAAAAATCCATTTTCAAGTATGATAATAATAGTTGACTCATTGGAGAACATAGCCTCAAAACTGTAGGGGACAGAGCTGTTTTGTGTATCCATGAGCATGGCATGGTGAAGGCAAGCTGAAGCCTCTCTTTGTGAGTAAAGGAGAACAGATTTGGGTTGTACCAGGAAATGTGGGCAGTGGGTGAAGTCTGAGCTCAAGACGCTGCATAGAAAGAGATCAAGATTTCAGGGAAAAATACGAGGTAGATCAAGAAGGTAGGAGAGATTCTTGGCAGGTCCCTCTTGGAAACAGCTGAAGATTTTCAAAGTGCTTCCACCCTTTACTGGTGATGTCAACTTTTTGAACAAAAGCACGCTGCGTTACTTTTATCATTCCAGAAAGACAAGCCTTTTTTGCTGTTGCTCATGTACGATATATTATCTCCCACCCCTGTGTGTGTGGATAAGTGGCCCATCCTGTCTTCCCTATCACCTCTACTAAGCTGGTCAGTTGGTCATCAACCTTTTATTAAGAGCTTACTATGTGCAAGGCACTGTTCTAGGTTCTGGGAAAAAGGAAAAAAAAAAACTGTCTCTCCCCTCAAGGAACAGATAGTCTAATGGAGGAGACAACATGCAAATGTGTGTGTATGTGTGTGTGTGTGTGTGTATAGATGCACACACACACCTATATATATGTGTATATACATATATATGTATATATATGTATATGTGGGATTACCTCCATTATGTAGGTAAAGTGGAGGTAATCTCAGAGGGAAGGTGCTAACTGTGGCAATGAAGGGGGAAACAAGCATCTATTAAGCACCTACTAAGTGCTAAGCACTTAACGGTATTATCTCCTTTGATCCTCACAACAACCCTTGGGGGGAGGTGCTATTAGGGTTAGGGAAGAACTTGGTGGAGGTGAGACTGGGAAAGGCCTTTAGTAGAAGACTGGATTTGAACTTAGTGCTGACACAAGCCAGGGAAGCTGGGAGTCTGAGACAAGAAGGGAGAGCATTCCAGGGTAACTGGAGATGGAGCTTCATGGGGGAGGAATGGCCACAAGGCCATTGTCACTGGATCACAGAGTATACGGCGGACAGTGAAGTGTAAGATTGAAAAGGTGGAATGAAGCATATTCTGGAAGGCATTAAGAGCCCCATAGGATTTTATATTTGAGTTTAAAGATCAGTGACATTTCCTGAGTAGGGGTGACATGGCCAGGCCCAGGTCTTCGAAAGATCACTTCCCTATCCCAGCAGCCCCTGCAGCAGTCTAGGCAGGAGGAGAGAAGGGGTGGATGTGAGAGGTGTTGTGAGGGCAGAAATGACAGCGTTTGGCATGATTGGATATGGGAAATGAGAAAGACTGAAGGGCCGAGGCTCATGGGCGATGGGGACATTCTCCAGCGCTGAAGTTCACATGCTTGTTTTTCAGGCTTTCAGAACCAAGGACGGCTATCTCGTGGTTGGAGCTGGGAATGAACAGCAGTTTGTGACCATCTGCAAGGTAACAGTGATCGAATTTGAGGAGAAAAAGTGGCTCAAATGTTGTTTATGGAAGTTAACAGCCCGTTTCTGGTCAATCAGCTGGGCTGGGAGAAAAATGCGCTGACTTGGAGCTCTAAGGCTTTGGAAAGTTGGTGAAATCTCTCCTCCTCTTAGGTCCCCTTCACTTTTGTGTCTCCGCTCAGGCGCTACTTTTGCCACAAGACTTTTCCTGGTCCCCCCAAGGTTGGCACTTCCTCCCCTAAGGTCACCGTGTATCTGCCGTATTTGTGCTTGTATGTAAACTCCCTGAGGGAAGGGCTATGGATGTTGTCATTGTATCCTCAGCCCTAGCCCAGTGCCTGACATATTTTGTTGTTTAGTTGTTTCAATCCTGTCTGATTCTTTGTGACCCCATTTGGGGTTTTCTTGGTAAAGATACTGAACTGGTTTGCTGTTTCCTTCTCCAGCTCATTTTACAGAGGAGAAAACTGAGGCAAACAGGGTGAAGTGACTTGCCCAGGGTCTCACAGCTAGTGTCTGAAACCACATTTGAACTCAGGAAGATGAGTTTCCTGACTCCAAGCTGGCTCTCCATCTGCTGCAGCCCCACGTAGCTGCCCCATCCCCCCCATGTAGGAAGCACTTAGCAAATGCTTGTTGGTTGATTGATTAATTAATGACAGTAAGAGAGCACATTGAACCCGGTTGCTTTCTCTGTCGCCAAATCAACCGACAATTCAAACTCAACATTTATTAAGCACCTATGTTGTATAAGACACTGGAGATACAAGGACCACAAATGGTGCCAACCTTTCCCTCTCGGAGTTTGTACCCTATCAGGGTAATAAAACATGTCCCCAAATGACGGTGATCCAAGCCATGGCTTACCTTTATATGACATTTTCAGTTTTGCAAAACGCTGTGTATACTTTTCTCATCTGATCTACCCAAGAGCCTTCTCTGTTACCTAGTGTAACTGTCTTTATCATCTATTTTATAGATTAAGAAACTGAGGCTGAGAAATGGGTAATCTCTTGCCTAGGATAACAGGCTATTAAGTGTTGGAGGTAGGATTTGAACCTAGGTCTTCTGACTCCCAGTCTAGCATTTTTCCATTATACCTTTGCTTTGGGGAAAGGAGAGGTTCAGATAAGGAGCATAAGAAAATCTGAGGGAGACCATTTTACCGGGAGTGAATGAAGAAGGTTTCATGGAAGAGTGGGACAAGAGTCAAACCTGGAGGCTGGGAGAGGAGGATTTCACCATTTGTAAGGAAAGGCAGAAGGGATTTGTTCTAGTCATGGAAGCTGGCCTTTGGGAACGTCCAGAGTTGGTGCTGGGGCCTGCAGTGCATGAAGGGATGGGGATAGGGACTGGATCTTAGACATTATTCTTGGAAATTCCCATGTGAGGAAACTCCATCAATCAGTGCAGATCAGCGCCATCTTTCAGCATGGAGTGTTAGTGAGAAGAAAGGCTTCTGCTTTTAGAGCCCACCAAGTCTGGGAAAACATGGCGGCTGTATAGGAGAGCTGAACTGATGTAGATTGTATGGATTCACTCAGGGTCTATTTGGAGGTTTACTCCACTAGGAAACTCACTGACTGCAGTCTATCACTACTCTGGCCTGGGTCGTGGCAAGAACTCTGCAGATCTCCATTATCATCATTTGCCAGACACCTCACCTGTCACCTCCAGGAGAAAGCCCAGTCTGACCAGGGACCACAATACACATTCCATGTGCATAATAACTTTTATCTGCATCGTCCCTTCCATACTGGGATGAAGCCAAGCAATTAGGCTCCTGAGGCTCCGACCACCAGGTGTCCACTGTAGGTCAGTAGTGCCCAACCCAATCTCCCCTCTTCCCTATTGGTTTAGAGAGAACAAGAAGAGGGTGAACCTCATCATCACCAGACTCTGAAGGGTGGGAGTCCTTCACCGTCTCAGGGCTGAAAAAGTCCTCCTCTTCCAATCCTTGTGACTGAAAGTTTCTTCATAGGCAAAACTAACAAACAAAGACCCCCTTCTGTTGCTACCACTCCCAGTTGGCATCTCCATCTCTCTTTCCCTGCTGCCTCCAAACACGCTCAGATCGCCATTCTTTTTTTTTTTTTTTTTTTTTTTGGCTAGGCAATGGGGTTAAGTGACTTGCCCAGGGTCACACAGCTAGTGTTACGTGTCTGAGGCTGGATTTGAACTCAGGTCCTCCTGAATCAAGGGCCGATGCTCTATCCACTGCACCACCTAGCTGCCCCTCAGATCTCCATTCTTAAAAAGCCTTCATTAGACTCTGGCTTTTGTCCTTTATCCTTCCCCACCCCCACTCACTTGGTAGTGCCTGCTCTTGGTAGTGCAGATGACCTGCCTGTACTCTGCGTACGCATCTTATATGTAACCAGCTGTTTGCATGTTGTCTTCCCCATCAGAATGGGAGCTCCTTGAGGGCAGGGACTGGCTTTTTGTTTTTATTTTTGCCTTTCTTTGTTTCCAGTGCTTAGCACAGTGCCTGACTCACAGTGAGTGATTAATTAATGCTTGTTGATTGACTGAACTATTTTGTGAAAAATTACAATGATCTCTTAATGCTCAAATCCAATGGCCTTTTCTTAGTTCTCGTCCTTCTTGACTCTCTGTGGCTTTTTGGACTGTTGACCACTCTCTCCCTCCAAACCTTCTCTCTTCCCTTGGTTTTTGTGACATCAAGTTCTCCTCATCTGTCATCTCTATGCTGATGACTCGAAGATCTATGGATTTAGGGCCTAACATGGTACTTGATAAGTACGTGTGTTTTGATGGATTGATCTGTCCTAAATTTGTCTCTTAAAGTTCAGTTCTAGATCACTAACCGGCTATTAGACATTTATAAGTGGATTATAATAGGCATTTCAATTACATGTCTCTAATTCTATCTCTGTCTGTACTGGGCTGTGTTTCTCATACTATTAAAGTGGGTCCCCCAAAGTTCTGTCTTGAAGGCCCTCCTATCTTAATGTTTAAAGTTCAGCTTCAGTGACACTCTCTCACACCAAGCCATCTTTTACCCAAGCAGTGGCAGTAACCTTTCACTCTTGCACATTTGAGAGTACTTGGTTTGGCCTTTGTGTGCATTTATCATGTGCCATTTTGTATGGTGGTTACTAATGTGTTTGTAATATAGCCCGCCAGACTCTCAGCATCCTGAGGACAGGTCTGCTCTTCATACAGTTGACTATGTTAAAATCTATTGATTAATATAAATAGCACTAATTGGAACTCCCATTTATGTAGCACCTGAAGCTTACAAAATATTTGATATCTCATTCAAGTAGAGACTTCCATTTGATTCTTGCAAGAGCCCTGCAAGGTAGATAACAGTTATTTTTAAATGTAATTATTATTATTATTATTATCATTATTTTTAATTAGGCAATGGGGTTAAGTGACTTGTCCAGAGTCGCACAGCTAGTAAGTGTTATGTGTCTGAGGCTGGATTTGAACTCAGGTCCTCCTGAATACAGGGCCGGTGCTCTATCTACTGCGCCACCTAGCTGCCCCGTAATGTAAATTTTTATTGCAACCTTTTGTCTTCATGCTATTTACATTTCCCAATATAACCCTCTTCGCTCTCATTCCTCAGGAGCCATCCCTTGTAAAGAAAAAAACAACCAAACCAATCAACCCATTGACTGCATCCACTATTCTGCTGAGTGTTCCGAGCCCACGAACCTCCCCGTCCACAAAGGGAGGAGGGAGGTGGCTCTTGGTCATCTCTTTTTGGGGTCCGGCTTGGTCACTTTCACTTCACATCCTCCGTTTTGCTGCTCTTGTGTCTTTGGTTTGCGTCCGCCATCTTTGTCGCGCTGTTTTCCTGCTGCTCCTTACTTCCCTCTGTGTCAGCTCCGACAAGTCCCTCTGAGCTCCTAGGCGTCCTCCATCTTTGTTCTTCCCGTTGTCCCAATAGCGTTCGTTCGTGTCCTTGCCCCACAGTTCCTCACTCAGCAGGCATCAGCTCTGGTTCCAGCTCTTCCCTGGGCAGGACCCACTTTATTCTTCCCCACTTTCCAGATGAGGAAGCTCAGACTTAGAGACATTAGGTGACCTGTCCATTGATGGCAGAGCTGGGGTGTGAGCCTCACCAGGCCAGTGTTCTTTCTAGCAGGGATTTTAATAAAACTTTGCGGTCTGATCCTCTGATGAATATTTACTTATGTCCTACATATTTTTGTTATTATTTTAAGGTCACAATTACAGCCTCATAAAACAACGCTACTTCCACAAATGCAGTTTCCAAAATGAGATCTTCAGGGAAATCATTTTCCAACCATTTCATTTTGGATATTTATTCACATAGATACATCTTCCAAAGTTTGGAGACTTGGCTAGACATTCCACTCTTGGGCTAGATATTATCTCAATTCATTTATAGGACCATATGTTTTGTATATTATATGCATCAGCACCAAATAGTGATTAAAGGGCTAGCCTTGGAGTCAGGAAATCCTGGGTTCAAATCCTGCCTCTGACAGAGTAATTCTGTGACCATGGAGTTGGCATTTCAGTCTTAGATGAGAATCAGTCCATCAACGAGCATTTTTTAAGAAATGTTTGATCTGTTTCAGCTACAGTGCTATCTAGTATGTAGTAAGTGATGAATAAATGTTTGTTGACTGAATTATTGACAGAGACAAAAATGAAACAGTCCTTTCTTTCAAGGAGCTAAGTCACAGAAGGTGTGCCAATTTGAATGTGTGGAAAGAGTTTCCATACCAGGATTTCTCCACAATGATGAAATCACTAATCAGAAACACACACACACACATAGACACACACAGACACACACACAAGTTTCATCTGAAGTCTGAGTTGTCTATTTCCCTTTTTAAATATCTCAATCTAGGTAGGAAAGCAATGCCTGAATAGAATTTCTGTCCATCAGTAAGCATTTACTTAGGACCTACTCTTGTCTAGGCATTGTGCTAAGCGCTCAAAGATCCTGCATGAAAGAATCCCTGCCCTCATGGAGTTTACATTGGAAGG